TTTGAAATCCACTGAGTTGTTCAAAATTTATAATCCAATGAGCTCCTAGCAGATAGGAGAGGTAAGTAGAAAAGGGGAAAAGGGAAAAAAGTATAAAATTTATCCCAAGATTCTGTGTTGTCAATCTTTCAAAATTATAATCCAAAATATCTTGCTAATAGTAATTTCTTGCCATTCACTCTGTCTCAAAGCAACTTATGAAATTCCAGGTCAAGCTGTATTTGTAATCCAACGAAGTCCAATGACTTCAAAACAATTTATGTTTTTAATTATAATCCATCCTGTAGAGAAAAGCAACCCAAAGATATTCTTTTCTTTTCCAGCCACAATCTCCAGGACTATAAATACCAAGGACATCAAAGAGTTTAATCTATAAGCTATGTCTAGTTGTCTAGCCAAGTTTCACACTCCAAGCACAAAAGCTTGATAAATTTAAAAAAAAAAAAGGCCAAGTTTAGTTCTTCGTTTTGCCACTAGATGTCATTAGATGTCCATTTTATGTTTTCCCAGCCAAGCTTTACAAAGTTTGCAAAGTTATAATCTGATGGTTTCCAAACAAAAAAGAAAAAGAAAAGTTTATGACTGCTAAAGCTTCTCAAAATATTCTTCTTCTGTCCCACTTAATTATCTTCACAATATTGTTGTAAGTCTCTTTAATTTCCCCCAAAAGCTTAGACCACTGCTTATATTTTTCAGGAGAGAGGAGTAAAGGAAAAGCCCCCCCCCCCAATAGTTTTGGTGATTTCTTGCTTTTCAGGAGCTTTTTTCCATAATTGGTATTTTCACTTGTAGAGAGATAAGGAAGATAGTCTTATCTAGATCAGCTGTTTTGCTTTTTGCTTAGTCGTTTTCTTACGGTGATCAGCAGCTTCTGGCTGACAGCATGGGTGCAGTCAGCCTTTCTTCCTGCCAGTCCCGAGGATCAAGCGAGTCAGTTTGTGCTGACCTGCGATTTAAAAAGATTCGCCCTTTGGCCTGTCACCTCTAAGGGACAACTTTCGGTCCTTTCAGACCCCCCCCCCAGTGGGTAGAATTCGGGCATAGGAAACGGAGCCTCATTCCTCTACGCCCATGTCACTGCAATCAGAAGTCTTATTCCCCTATTTTCTTGCCACTTTTTTGATTAGTGCACTTTGTGTGGCACTCACTATTAAAAGCTTGATTTTGCTTGACAGCAAGGTTGATATTCTTGTCAACACACACATCTATGTTACATGCACTGATAACTCTATAATTTTTACATTGCCTTGTTTGATATTTATCAAACAAGGAAAACCCTCCAGAAACAGAAAAGACAAGCCACTGAGGGAACTAGCTTAAAAAGGCTCATTCCCCTTTAAGAATTAGCTACTGGCTAGAAAGGAAAGTTAAGGAACTGACAGCCGGCACTTAAGAAAAAAAACCCAAATGTAGCAAGTACTGGCTGCTGGCTAAGGCAGCCTCCCCAAATGACTCCATTCATAAGTAAACAAATGCTACAGGCAAAATCCATTCAGGACAAAAATACTTCAAAATCCCTTGCAGCAAAACTTACAGCTAACAACAGCAGAACAATAAAATTAGAACCAAAATCCAACACAGGACATCAGCCATCAGCCATAATAGAAATTGCCATACACTCCTTAAGAACACAAAGCCCACATTGCACAAATCCCAGAACTTCAAAATCACAAAAACATATATGAATCCTTCCAGTCTCCTGGTTTGTTGTTCAGCTGATCCAGAACCAAACTGCTGAAACGGCATTTCACTTCTGCCAATAAACATCTCCTCTCGAGCAGCCGGAGCAGTCAGCTTCCTCTCATCTATTTCAAACAGCAGCGCTTCATTTTTTTTTTCTTTTCTCTTAAAGTTATAGCCTCCTGGCTGGAAAGCAAGCCCCCGGCTTTTTCTTCCAACACTTCCTTCCTTTCCGTTTCCTTCCTGCTCTCTACCTTCCTCTTTCTCATTTCCATCTCCTTCCTTCCTTCCTCCCTCCCTCTCTCCATGCCTCACCTCCAGCCGATGCTGCCTTTCTTCATTCTTCATGGAGGGCAAGCCCTCCCCAGCTGTGTTTCTTGCCTGTTTGTCGCTGCCATCTGTATGTGAACCTGGCACAGATGGCTGACACAGAAGTTGTAGATTGGCTCCCGGCTGGCCTGTTTAATCTCCTCTTCCCTCTCTTCCCCCCTCCTCCTTCTTTTCCCTTCGGTGCAGCTCCAGCTGACTCCTCTTCCCAAGGCTGCGTCTTTTTTTTCTCTCTCCCTCTTCCGCCCAAACTGCCTCCTTTTATAGCCTCTCCTGTGCCCCCCTCCTCCTCCTTTCTCTTCTGGGTGAGCCAGAAGTGCTGACCCTGGGGCCTTTGCCTTGCCCCAACCGCCCTGCAGCTCCTGAGGACTCTCTCACAGCAAGTCCTGCACTATGCCGCTTTGGCTTGTTCCCTCCTCTGCTACACTTGGCTAATCTGGGCAGGGCCGCGTACCACCTGCCAGGTGCCAATGTACCACCAGTGGTATGTGTATGAGTGTGATTGAAAAGCCCTGCTCTAGGGTTTTGAGTCCTGTTTGCAATCTAATTTTAAAAAAAAAACCTTACTGAAATTGTAGATATTTCAAAGCAGATATGCTTTTCACTAAGAATAGTACTGTCAGCAGGGATAAGCAGAGAATTTTTTTGAACCAATTCAAGTTTTGAGGCTATTTTATGAGTCACACCCAGATAAAATACAGTGGTAATTGCTATACTCACTTTTCCTCCACTAACAAGCACAATTGGTGAATCAACTAATGCTGATTAAAAAAAAATTTCAGAACCCTATCCATATTGAATCTATGGCTCTGTCGCTGTAGCTAACTGGATTTTTAATGGGCACAATGATTCATAAAGACTAGAGATTTACTCAGTTATATGAATGGAAAAGGCTTGAGGTTTTTAACTTCAACTTCCATAATTCCTTGCTTTTGGCCATACTGTTGGATGCTTTGAAGCCCAAAATACCTGGAAGGCACTACTGACCTAGACATTTTATGTAAATATTTTTTTAAAACTACTGCTACCATTACTACTATTATTACCAGGAAACATTGAAAGATTTTTTTCACATAAACAGGAAACTGTTATACACTTCTATATAAAACCTTTCACAGACTCCATAGAGATAATGCTGAAGAAAATCTTGTTGAAAGATGAAAGAGAATGATCACATTCATTTATACTATCACAGAAGGAACCACCAGAGAGATCTCTGTCACAGAGCAAGTCCTATTTCAGTATTAAATGGATATAAGTAACCCAGGAAATGCCTGAAATTGACCTGCCAAAGGAGCACAGCTAAAGCTGATATTTAATTATTGATGGTTAAATCTGCTTTCATAATCAATTGATTTATAATTAGCTACCTAATTAATGAATGAAACATTTTTCTTCTTCACATTCCCTATTTTGATATCATCTAATATCTACAGAATCAAACAATTATACTGAGCATGAACTTCTCTACACAGTTAATATATCTTTCAAGTAGGAAGTTTTCTGGCACAACAAGAATGATTTTCAATTCAAAATAGCCATGAGTGACAGATTCATTCTGCACAAATTGGATACAGCAATGTATTGATAACTCTATGACCTTTATTCATACTGTACTCATAATGCAAGAGCTATTTACTACATGGAGTAACTGTACCAAATGGCAAAAGAAATATCAACATTTCCCATCTTTGATGTTCATTCCCATGTATCCTTTTGATTATTCTCCTACAATTGCTACATCTATGTCTCTTAATTTAAAAGACTATTTGAAATTCTTATAGAATCTATCTTCTCCCCCTCTCCCCACAGCTTTGGTTATCTTGATTTATTTATTTAGGAAATTTATTTGCTGCCCATATCGTATCCAATGACTCCGGGTGGCTTACAGCATAAAACATTAAATCAGAAAAGACATTAAAATCAACAATCATGGCAAACAGCAGATAAAGTCATTGACAATTACAAACCATCAAAACCAGATGGGAAAGGTGGGAGCTGGACACACAGGGTGTGGAGAGGTGGGATTAGGTTTTAGTTAATTAGATTTTGATTAATTAACCACTCCAGAATGAAGCTTCCCCATTGCAGTGGTGGGATTAAGCCAGTTCGCACCACTTCGGCAGAACTGGTAGCTATTTTTTTGTTGTCCAGGCCCAGAATGGACTTCCAGAAGCAGCATCCACACAGAGAACCGGTTGTTCACATATTTGAATCCCACCACTGCCCCATTGGATCCCCAAGCCATCTGGCAGAGCCAGGTCTTGAGGCGTTTTCAAAACATTAGGAGGGTGAGAGCCAATCTCATCTCAGGAAGTAAGATGTTCCAAAGGGCAGGACCCAATATTTATTTTTATGAACCCAGAACTTGCATTTTACATGATGTATGGTACATCCCATTCAGACTGCTACAAAATTCATAGCCCTGAATTGATTGATCAATTGATCCATCAATCAGGCAGCTGGACAGACAAACAGCATTATCCCTGGTGCATTTAATACAAAGACAGTGGTTGTGTGGTGGTTACCATCATCAATTACATCACTGTCCTCCATGTGTACTATTTTCTCTGTACCACCATGTCACAGAGTAGACTTGGCAAGCTTTTTTTATTTTTCAGCTGTATAGAGAAGTAAACTAGTTCCACATATAGTCCATTGAGAATGAATTTGAAAATTCTTAACAAAGTTAAGCAGGGCAGACTTGTTTAATGGTTATTTGGGAAATCTCAGGGCTGATGAACCAGTTCCCCATTGTTGCCAAGAAAATTATATCAAAATGTCTATGTTAACTTGAAGGACACTTGGTCCTCCATCCTATTTGATCTTGCCATCCAAGGTATAAATGTAATCAGACAATGCTGAGGCTTATTGTTTACACTGCAGATGGTTGTGGAAATATTATTTATTTGCATTTAACTACATTTTCATTGAATTGTAAATAAAATAATGCAAACTGGTCATCCAATGATATCAATTTTTTACTATTGCAGGTGATTATATAGTCATGACTATATACTTCGAGTTAAGTAGAAGAATGGGATACTTCACTATTCAAACATACATTCCCTGTATATTAACTGTTGTCCTATCCTGGGTATCATTTTGGATTAAAAAAGATGCCACACCAGCAAGAACAGCCCTAGGTAAGATAACAGGGGATAATATTTTTTATTCATTCTCAGCCTGCTGAGGATTCTTTGTTATATATTTCCAATGAATAATTATTTTATTTCACTTGATAGGTAATGATGCTAACAAATGTTTATATTCTGCAAGAAGTCTCCTATTCATGGTTCCCAGCCCCTTGTTGGAGAAATATTTGAAATAATAATTTTCATAACATCATTTTTCTGGTGTTCTATTATTAATAACTCCATTTTTTATCTTCTTAGCTTCCCTTCCACTGTTGTTGATCATTCTACAATGTACAAAGTGATGTGTGCTAAACTCCTCCTTAGCTCTGTCTCCCCAAATTTGGCATGAAATGTCTAAAGAGTTTCTTAGTCATCCATGTCATGGTTGTCCTAAAGGTGCTTTTTCAAAAAGCAGCTGGGTTTTCTTTGTTTTTGCTTGAAGACATGGCATTGGCATGAAATGTTCATCAGAACTTTACTTCAGATTAGATGCTGAACAGAAGATTATGGGGGGAAAGAACAATGTTTTAAGTATAGATTATTTGTACAATCATAATATTAGGTTAAATACATAGGTTCTTACAAAGGGTGTGAACACCATTGTTCATCAATAATTTAGCTAGATAACCATTGAACTTCTTCTACTTCTTTTCTTGTTTTTAAGAATCCTAACCTAATCCTGATCTTAATTCTTTTCTCTAACAGTCAGTATTTCATGCTCATTAAATAGTGTTTTCCCCAACTCTTGCTGGACCTTAACCTTTTAAAAGTTTTGGTACTTCTAAAACAAATTTTGCTTCTCCAAGCTCATGGGAAACTTCCTACTGTGATTCTAGTTCCTGGGATACCTCACTTATAATATGTTAAATTTTTTTAAAAATCTCCCTGTTCCTATTGATCAGGATTTTGTGAACTAATAGAGAATAATTTGCAGTTTTCCATTTTCTTTCTGTTATGAGATTACAGTTCAATCAGAGATCAGTTTATCAAACACCTTCTTTTACACAAGGATCTGTTAATTCTCAATAATAACTTCTCTGGATATATCTAGACAGAAAGGGACTTTCAGCAATACTTATATATTGTCTTTTTCATCAAGTAGAGACTATTTTTCAGTGTAGGAAAATGTGGTATACTGGGGCATGCAATGAGAATATCTGTGACCCTTCTTCCAAGCCCTAAATAATTTGATTCTTGTTGTGACTCTTCTGAGTAGCAATATTCTTAAGCAACTTGTTTCTTGACAGCTGTAGACAAATTCATCTTCATCTGCTTTGAGTTTCCATGTTTAGCATCAAATGGTTTGATCAACAGGGCATGGACTGTATAGGATAGTCATGAAACTTAGCAAGAAGTTTTGAAATTTATTAGCAGCTAAACAAATCTGCATCATTACTTTCTATGCACTGCATGACAAGATGGTGATAGCTGGAGTAAGTGGCTACCTGGCGTTCCAAATATTTGCTTCCTGCTAGCTAATGCTCTTTTTCTGTAATTCTACTACTTATAGCTTTTTTCCACTGAAGCAAAGCTTCTTACCCACTAATATAAACCAGACCCAATGTGTTATCATCATATGTAAATTTCCCTTGACAATCTCACAATCTTCTAAGAGAAGGCAAAGCATTTTCTAAAAGAAAAGTGAAGAAAGGATATGTGTACTACAAATGTGCACATGTTGTCTCACAGCAGAATAGTGACTTAAAACTATCTTCTTCCTGCATTTCCTACTCAGTAATACTCTTCAAAGCTCTCACCTACTGTTTCAAACCTTAAAGTCTGCAACTAAATTGGAGGTCATTGACTTATTTCCAAAAACAACAAACCTTTTTTGAGATTCAGAGTTCTCTATATGAACTAAACATGGTCCTCCAGTGGCTGACTCAGTGAAGTAGAAAAGTCTTCACAATATGCCACTATGGAAAAGCAGTTTCCTCCTTATGATATTATATCTTTCATGTATAAGCCTACAAGCATAAGATATAAATTTCTGTGAAAGCAACATTCTCAAGAGCTGAGCAAAATCTTCTTATGTGAAATTTCTCACAACCCTCTGCCCAGTTTCATGCAAACCTTTATGTTATTTTCAAATTCTACCTACTTCCTACCTTGTTGGTTTTGGACCCACCAACCGTTAACTGATACAGGGTTGCCAGTGACATTGGACTGCTGAAAGAAAATAGATCTCATAATGAAAAGCTTTCACATCTGGGCTCTCGGAGATGTAACCTACAGATGTAATAATAATAATAATAATAATAATAATAATAATAATAATAATAATAATAATAATAATAATAATAATAATAATAATAA